TTTGTTTTATACTGGGTTGTCCTGTTATTATTTCGTGATAACTTGCTCTTTGTAAATTCTCAATACGACTCCCTTATCATATGTATGATTTACAAAAGATTTTTTTCCCATCTGAGCATTATATTTTCACGTGTCTGTCTTTTGAAGCATGAAGTGTTTTAATTGTGTTGAAGTCCCACTTGTCTATTTATTCTCTTGTGCTTTTTGAATCATCTTTCAGAATCCATTAGATTTTTTAATTATAACAAATCCAAGCTCTTGAAGATTTTTGCCTACATTTTTCTTCTATCTTTTAAGCCTAGGCCTATAATCTATTTTGAGTTGCTTCRTAGGTATGGTGTGAGGTAGGGATCCCACTTTGTTCTTTGGCCTGAGCATATCTCACCCCAGCATTAGTTATTGAAAAGATTTTTCTTCTTTTTTTTTTTTTTTTTTGAGTTCAATCTGGGATTGAACTCAGGGGCACTGGACCACTGAGCCACATCCCCAGCCCTATTTTGTATTTTATTTAGAGACAGAGTCTTACTGAGTTGCTAAGTGCCTCACTTTTGCTGAGGCTGGCTTTGAACTGGGGATCCTCCCTTCCCAGCCTCCTGAGGTGCTGTGATTACAGGGTGTGCGCCACCGCACCCAGCCTCTTCCTCCTATTGAACAGCCTTGCTATGTTCGTGGAAAGTCATCTGACTGCAAATGTGAGGATTTATATCTGGATTCTTAGTTCGATTTCATTGTATATGTGTCTCTTTAACGCCTTGCTGCAGTCTGGATTATGTAGCTTTGTGGTAAGTTTTGAAATAGGGAAGCACACATCTTTTCCAAGATTGTTTCAGCATCAAGAGCCCTTTTATTTTTATAAGTGGCCCTCAATACCACTATCTGAGAAATGCTGGTATTTCTCATAGAGACGTTTAGGAAAATACAACAGCACAGTCAAATCACTCAAGAGGCCTGGGGTTGCAGCTCTTGGTAGAGGTGTCTGCCTCGAATGTGTGGGGCACTGGGTTCGCTCGTCAGCACCACATAAAAATAAATAAATAAAATAAAGATACTGTGCCCATCTGCAACTAAAAATTATTTTAAAAACAACAATAACAACAACAAATCACTCTAGAGGCTGAGGCAGGAGACTTGCAAGTTCAAGAGAAAACTTAAGTGAGACCCTGTCTCAAAACAAAAAATAAAATGGACCAGGAAGGTAGCTCCGGGGTAGAAATCTTGCCTAGCATGTGTGAGACCCTGGGTTCACTGTCCAGTACAGAAATGCACACACACACACACGCACACGCACACACACACATGCACAAGCACACACACACACATGAGAAAGATAAGCGACTTGGAGGCTGCCAACAAAGCTCAGTCACATCTGTCCCCACTTGGCCCTGGACCTACCAGGCAGCGGCTGGCTGGACGACACCGTGCTCAGCTCCTCTCACACTGTGGCCCCCGAGCCTGTCCTCTGCCTGTTGGTTTCACCGGGCCGTTTGCTGGGTGCCAGGTGGTTACACTGGGAGTGGATGGCAGGTCCGGTGACCTGAGCCGCAGGGGCTTAGGAACGCCTTTCGGAACCTCCAGTCACGTGGTCAGGGACCGTCTGCCCTCCTCCAACTACAGGGTCGTGTCCTTCCCCAGGCTCAGCACTGCTTTAGAGGCCCTCACTACACAATGAGGATGACAATCGCTGCCCTGCCTACCTCACAGGAGGGATTATGTCAAGGTGACCTCTCCCAGGGGGCTTGTCCGCCGGCCCCAGGTTGTGCTCCCTGGCCTTCTGTGACTTTTTTCCATCATGGCATCTGTCATTCTGTGTTGCAAATGACGGTTTTTCTTTCGGTCTTCTCCCTCTGGGAGCCCCAGGAAGGCAGGGGTTGGGTGGGCCTTGCCTCAGCAGCCCCAGCACCCAGCACCCAGCACCCAGCACCCGGCATACAGAGTGGAAAGTGCTCTGAACACCTTCTAAGACCCAGCTGCTCAGGCACAGAGAAAGGATTGCCTTGGTGACCCGTGAAGAGCAAGGTCTCCCACCTGGGGCAGCTGTGTGCTGAGACCCGAGACCCACCAACAGTCCCAGCAGGTSGCCTCCACACAGCCTGGCCACAGAGAGGAAGGGGGACCTGGGTGCTGAAGGTGACCACCCTCCCAAAGTTTGGCTCTGGCAAGCTGGTCTCTCCCGGCTGCAAGTTTCTCTGTCTCAACGCGTCCCTATGCCCTATTCCCAGGAGACCCCATTTCCCCTAAGCTGTTGGGCACACACTGATTCAAGATGTCAGGCTGAGAAAGATAACCTGGTGGCCCGTCCCCAGGCTCACTCGGTGCCAGGCCCCGTGCTGCTGAGCACAGGCTTCAAAGCTGGCAGGGACACGGTCTTGCCCGCAGCAGACAAGCCCAAAGAAAGATGGGGACGGGAGGGGACAGAGCTTTCCGTGTGGGACTGTCCCTCCCCTTCCCTCTGCTGTCCGCCTCTCTCCTCCGTCTTCTAAGCCTGCCACTGTAGGAACTTCAGAAAATGAGACGGGATCCGAGAACCAGGAAGAAGAACCCCCCACTGTCTGGGCAATTTCTTAATTTCTTCCCCAAAGAATCAGGGAATTGAGTGAAATCGAAATTAGAAGAGAAGTCACTGCACATAGAAGTTAAAAAAATAGGTGAACTGCACACCCATTAAGAGGCTATTACACAGAGTCGGAAAAACATGGAAAATCACCCGCGTTGGCAAGGATGTAGAGACACTGGAACCTTTGTCCACTGCTGGAGGGAATGGAAAATGTCACCGCTGCTGAGGAAGACCGTTGGGCACCTCCTCCAAAATAGACACTCGGATATTTGTGCACCCGTGTTCCCAGAGCCCTATTCACAACAGCCGAAAGGTGGTGATGTCCAAAGTGTCCATCAATAATGAATGAAGGCACAGAATGTGGTCTATACACACAACGGGATATCCTTCAGCCTTTTAATAAAGGATCAAAATTCTGAGAAGATATGCTACCCCAGGAACAAACTTTGAAAACATTATATGAAGTTGAAGGATACCTGACGCAAAGACAAGCATTGTGGTGTGCACCTGGAATCCCAGTGACTCAGGAGGCTGAGACCGGAGAATCACAAGTTGGAGGCCAGCCTGGACAACTTAGTGAGGCCCTGTTTCAAAATGAAAATAAAAGGAGCCGGGTGTAGCTCAGTGGTAGAGTGACCCTGGGTTCAATGCCCAGCAGGGCAGGGATGGGAGGGAACAAGTGTCCTTTGATTCCACCTGTCTGCGGTACCTGGAATAGGCAAATTCATACACACAGAAAGTAGAATAGAGGTCACCCAGGTTTGCAGAGGGGGAGTTGGTTGTTATTAGTTAATGGGACAGGGTTTCTGTTGGGTGATGAAAACTTCTGGAAACTAGGATATGGTTACACAACACTGTGAATGTTCATAATCGCACAGGATTGTACACTTACAATGGTTAAAATGACTGGGGCTTATGGCTTAGTGGCAGAGCAGGCGCTTATCATGTGCAAGGCCCTGCACCGAAACAAAAAATAAAGGTGAAAATGGTATGTTTCATGTCATATATATTTTACATTGATAAAAAAGTTATGTCAATCCTTTAACAAATAGCTTATACAGAGTAAAAAGCAGAGAGAGGAGAAAGGTTTGTTTTGTGGTGCTGGGGATTGAACCCAGGGCCTTGTGCATGCAAGGCAAGCACTCTACCAAGTGGGCTATATCCCTAGCCCCAAGGAGAGGGTTTAAGAATAGTTAGTGAAACTGGGCCTAATGGCGCTCCTCTGTAATCCCAGTGCCTTGGGAGGCTGAGACAGGAGGATCAAGAGTCTCAAGCCAGCCTCAGTCAAAGCTAGGCCCTAAGCAACTAAGTGAGACCCTATCTATGTGGCTCAATTGCTGAGTAGCCCTGAGTTCAATCCCCAGTATGGCTCCTTCCCCCAAAAAACAATATTCAGTGAGTCACAGATTTGAGATCAGAGGTACCCCACATAGGACAATGTGGACACTGGAAAAATATTTATGGAATAAATGAGAGAATGGATTTGAGAATTTGACTAAGGTGAGGTATGGTATCACCTAAAATGTTCTATAAGAAATCCAAGTTAAGCCCAGAGACCCAGGCAGGAGGATCACAAGTTCGAGGCCAGCCTCAGCAACTTACAGAGACCCTGCTCAAACAAAAAAATTAATAGAAAGGACGGAGTGTGTAGCTCAGTGGTAAACTGAAACTCTCCCGAGTTCAATCCTCAGCATCAAAAAGAAGAAAAGAAAGAGAAGAAAAAATGAGGTGGGGGGGGGGAGAGGGAGGAGAAGAGAAATTAAAACAAGTTAAGGCAGGAATTGTTTTAAAATTACTTGTGTCACAGCCTGGCACAGTGGCTCACACTGAGGCAGGAGGATTGCAAGTCAGTCTCAGCGACTTGGTGAGGCCTTAAGCAACTTAGCGAGACTCTGTCTCAAACAGAAAAATTAATAGAAAGGGCTGGGTGTGTAGCTCAGTGGTAAAGCTCCCCTGGGTTCAATCCCAGGTCAAAAAATAAATCAATCAGTTATGTCACTAAATTTCACTTCTTCCAATACAACTCCTTCTTGAGCCGGGCCACCAGAGCCGGGGGCACAGGAGTAGGTTGCAGCGAGGACCAGAAGGATGGTCGGGCGGGATTTCGCTAGAACCCTGGCCAGCCTCAGGGGAAGGAAGGGTATTAGGCAGAAGAGCAGCAGAAGCAAGGGGCTGGAGGACGGAGGAGCTTCAGGGCGGGCTACGCTTTGCATCTCAGCAGCTGCGCCCCTGGGCTGGAGTAGAGGCGGACGATGACCCGCAATCACCCTACGCGTTCGGCTGGGTCTGCACTGAAGCGTTCTCTGCGGTTAAGGCGCCTGGTCCTCAAGTCAGCGCCAGGCGCCCAAACGCAGCCCGCGTGTCCCGAGCTACGGCCTCCAGCAGAGGGCGCGCAGGCGAACGGGGTGCTGAGGCCCGCGAGCTGCCGCTCTAGCCAGAGCCTGGTCATAGAGCCGCACTGCTTCCGGTCCCATGGGGGCGGGGAAAGGAGCCGGAAGTCCGGTGGGCTCCGGGCGTCGAGATGGAGGCGAGCGAGTACGAGTCTGTTCTCTGTGTCAAGCCGGAGGTCCACGTCTACCGCATCCCACCGCGGGCCACCAACCGCGGATACAGGTGACTTTCCGTTAGCCCTGCCAAACCCCTTCCCCGCCGCCCCACCGCGGGAGCCGAGGGCGGCCCTCCCCGGTTTAGGGGCAGGGGTGATGTCGCTGCGGCTTCTCCCGGTTGGAGACCTGACCACGGAGGGGACCCGCGGTTGGGACGTCTCAGCGGGACGCGGGGGACGCCTGGCGACGGGGAGGGCGTCAGAGCCTAGCCTAGGGGGACCCCGGTGGGCTGCCGGTGTCCCGAACTTGGCCAGGAGTGGTGGTGGGTGTCCGACTTCCGCGCCGACCGGTGGCCTTGAAGGGATCCTGGACGGCCTGAAGTGGGGAGGGGACCTGTCACTGGCGGAAATCCCCGAGGGGAGGGAAGGGAACCCAGAACCGGCTGGAGGGACCCGTCCCGGAGCTTCCAGCGGATAGCTGAGCCCAGGGGCCCTTTGCCACCGGCTTCCCTGGCGCGCATTTCACCCTTGGCCGTAGCCGTAGTGGCAGGGAGGGACCCACCGCACCTGTCTTGTGTCATCCCCACCCTGTGCTTGTAAACGCGTAGATGGGTGTCTCTGGGAAGGAACCCGGTAACCGTCCCGGGGAGCAGAACCAGGGCTGGAGAGTCTCTGCATACCCTTTTGTACTGTATGATTTTATTTGTTATCTCGCGTTTGAAATACCTGTCAAAACTAGAGGAATAAAGATGATCCCTGAAACAGATAACCTAGCTCATGGCTATTTTGTGCCATTGAATGGGGTGTGGCATTTTTTGGGGGGGTAGTGCGGAGCTGAGGATTGAACCGAGGGGTGCTTTACCACGGAACTACATCCCCAGCCCTTTTTAAATTTTTTTTTTGAGACAGGGTCTCCGGCCAAGTTGCTGAGACTGGCCTCTATCTTGGAATCCTCCTGCCTCAGCCTCCAGAGTTGCTGGGATTACAGGCATGTGCCAGTGTTTCTGGCCATGGAGTGGCTTTTGAAGGCAATGTGTGTGCAAGTTTTTTGAAAATACAGGATTGACCTACAATGTAAAATGGTGGGGTGTCTAAATATCTGTCCTCTTGTTACTTTGCAGTTGTGTAACAAAAGCCATGGTGAATTTTCTAGCGAGCAGGTATTTTATTGAACACCTAATTGCAGACAGTGAAGTTACCAAACACTAGCCCTGGCTGGTTTGGCATTGAGGAAACTGCCAGCCCTGGCATTTTGACCTCTTCTTTGCTTGAATCTTAGGATTTAGGCTGTAGCTGAGTAAGGGGAACTGAAACTGAGTCTGCTGACTTTCGAATTGAGCATCTGCATTTCTGTGGTCTTCAAAACAGCCTTCATCCAAGTTCTTGAGAGCTGACCTATGCTTAGGAACTTCCCAAGAAAAGCCTCCTGGAAACACCCATGGCTCTTACTGTCTGGGAGTTTTCACTGAGCTGCTGCTTAGAACTAAAATGTGAAGTTATTGCTTTAAGAGTGCCAAATGGGGGGCTGGGGGTGTAGCTCAGTGGCAGCCTGCTTCCATGGCTTGTGCAAAGGCCTGGGTTCAATGGTTCAATCCCTGGTAACACACACACACACACACACACACACACACACACAGCAAATGAGATTATCTCTGTAGGTCCATGCTTTCCTGAGTTTAAGGAAAGTTGCTGCCTTTGAGAATTTCCTAAGCATCTACTTCCTTTTTTCACATGTAGCCTCAGGCTCTGGTCTTTTCTTTGTCTATGAATGATTGTACTTTTCCTTCAAGATGGTCTCAGTGGTCCCAACTGGTCACTCTGACCACCCTGGTGTGCAGCTTCTTCCAGTTCAAGGCCAGATCAAGAAGGGGACTCAGAGTTAGGGACATATCAGTAGGACAGGACTTACACAGGAACAATAGGCCCTCCAGCTGCTTCCTCTGTGGAGAGGAAACTAGGAGGAAATCTCTATTGGGAGAAGGTCTGTAGTCTAGAACAGAGTTGTCAAGCTACAACTCACTTTGTTGGTTTTTTAAAATATTTTTTTTGTAGTTGTACACAATAACTTTATTTATTTATTTATTTTTATGGGTGCTGAGAATTGAACCCAGAGCCTTGCATGTGCAAGGCACGCGCTCTACCGCTGAGCCATAACTCCAGCCCCAAACTCACTACGTTTTTGAATGGCCCACAAACTAAGTGTGGTTTTTACATTTTTTAAATGGTTGGGAAGAATTTTAAAGAAGAATATATCCCACTGTGCAAATTATATGAATTTCAGATTTCAGTGTCTATAGTTTTTTTGAAATATAGCCATGCTCTGTAGAATATTTGCTTAAAATACTCAAAGCACCAGCATGCTTTATTGTATTGTGCAACTGCTTTCTCTCTATAACACCAGAATTGTCTAGTCATGACAGACGCTGTGGTGCCTGCAAAGCCAAAAATACTGACAGAAAGTTTGCCACCTCTGGTCTAGAACAAGCAGCCTTTTCCATTCTTGTCCCCAGCATTGGAAAAAGAGAGCAACGGTCTCTGGCAGAGGCTCAGTGGTTTTTGTCCCCTTAGGGCCTCGGAGTGGCAGCTGGACCAGCCATCATGGAGTGGCCGGCTGCGGATCACTGCGAAGGGTCAGGTGGCCTACATCAAGCTAGAGGACAGGACCTCAGGTAAAGGCAAGGGAGGCTGTGTTGGGCTGAGGTGCCACACCTCCCCGTGATGGAGGGACGAGGCCACTGGGCCTAGCCAGGCTGCTCAGGGGCCATGGGAACCTATCCTGGGAGTTGGAGCCTCAAGTGTACCTTTCAGCTGCCTTTGTCCCCGATCTTAATTGTAGAAACCACTGCCCCCAAGTGTGTAAAGGAGTATTTCTTGTCAAGCCCCTGTTCTCTTGGGGGTCTGTTAATTTTGGAGGCCAAGGAGAGGAGACTTGCAAAGTGGTCCCAGTAGGAAGTAGGAAGCCCTGGGGCTTGCCTTGAGGACAAGCTGGGCAAAGGCGCACAGCTGCTGAGCTCTGGTCCTTCCTCAGGAATTCTGCTGATCAGCTAAACGGCAACTCCCCAGAGCCGATCCTGCCTGATAAGTGAAGGAGCTGGAAACTGTTGTCCTCAGCTCTCTCTGTAGCAAGAGGATAAGCCACGCTGAGCTGTGCTGGGTCAGCTGGCAGATAGGGCTTCTGGGGAAATCTCCCTAGAAGTCATGGGCCACCAGTGCCTCTGGGTGAGCCCTGGAGGGCAGCACACTGGAGTCTCCCAGCCTGAGACCCATTGCCAGCTCAGGTGCCACGCAGTCAAACTGCTACTTTTTCTAACACATGGAAATTCCCCTTAGTGGAGCAGAAGAAAAGGCAAGGATCTGGAGGCAGAACGGCTGCCTGTTCTCCAACTACGCATTCTGTTTGAGATGTTGGGCCACGTGTTCCTTGGAGTGTTGGCCTCCAAATGAGGATCACATTGGTTCTTCTCTCACAAAATTGTTGGAAATAGGAAGTGAGCAGATAGTTTGCCAGTTGCCTTGTGAACTGCAAGGCACCTCATCATGGATTTGTTCCTTTGGAACACGGTGTTGTCAAGGTGAGTATTGGCTGCCATGGCTAGGCCAGAGGATTCTGGCCCAGTTGGTGTCACTAGGGTGTGGCAGTACTCTTGTTTTTGGGGAAACTTGGGGACTTTTAACCTAACTGCCTAATGTGACAGCCACTGTTTTGAGCCAAACCTTGCTTACTTACCCAGGAGGTTGTGAGTATAACGTTCTGGGCCAGGGTTTCTCACAGGGTTTCTCAGCCTCAGTGCTGTTGACGATTGGGGCTGATGAGTCCAGTGTGAGCTATTTAGCAGCATCCTGGACTTGACCTGCCAGTTTCCAATAGCACCTCCTGAATTGTAGCAACCAAGAGTGTTTCTAGACTGTGCCAGATGTCGCTGTGGGGAAGGGGAGCAAAATGATCCCTGCTTACGAATTATTCCTCTAAGCTAAAGGCATCCAGGTAGGTCTAGGTCCCAAGGTTCCAAACTTGGGTGGATAAATTGACAATAATTGCAGACTCTGGTGCCATCAGCATTTGTTTGTTTTGTACTGGGGGTTGAACCCAAGGGCGCTTTACCACTGAGGTACATCCCCAGTCCTTTTTATTATTTTGAGATAGGATCTTGCTGAGTTGCTTAGGGCCTCGCCAAACTGCTGAGGCTGGACTTGAACCTGCAATCCTTGTGCCTCAGCCCAGGTTGCTGGGATACAGGATTGCCCAGCCTATTTGTTTGTTTGTTTTGAGGCAGGTTCTTGCTGGGTTGCTGAGGCCCTCCCTCAGTTGCCCAGGCTAGCTCTAACTTGCGATCCTCCTGCCTCAGCCTCCTGAGTTGCTGGGGTTACAGGTGTGTGCCACCTCGCCCCGCTGAGCCATCAGTTTTGATTTAATCCAGCCCTTTACCCAGTAACCTCTAGACCACAGGACTCACTAGAAAATGTTAAGTGCTTAAAGCACCCATGAAGACAGCATGTGAGATCGTAGAACTGTTGCAGGTGCTCACAGATTTATATGCTCACCGCAACTGTGGAGCCCCATGCTTGATGGGGGGTGCATTTCACCAGGGAGCCTTTTAAAACGAATCACACTTGCCCTGCCTCTGAGCTTGAGTTAAATTACCCTCCTTTGGAGTCTCATGGGTGTAGACACTCCCTCCTTCCTTTCCACAGGGCTCCCTGGCCCCTCTTACAGTCCTGCTTCAGCTACTGGCTTTTGCAAAAGCGTGATCCATCTAGGCCTGGACTCACCTGTGTCGGGGCCCTCAGGCTTCGGCACGTTGTGTCAGGGGGTAAAGCAACGGGAATGGGTGGGTGGTGGATCGTGGCTGCACCCTGCATCCTCACATGGGATTGGAGGCCCAGCATCAGTAGAACTTTTTATTTTAAAAGAAGTCTGGATTGCTTTACGTGTAATATGATTTTGGAATGTTTGGTAGTTAAATAAAAAATATTAAAATGGTGCTGGATTTCACCTGTAAACCACTGACTGAGATCTTTCCTTAGTTACATTCCAACGTCTTCCCTTCAGCAAGAGTGGATTGGATTGGGATCCCAGAGTCAGGTCTGCCTGTCTGCCCGTCTTGCCAGAGATGCCTGGTGGGAGGCCCAGCCGTGAGCTGGACTCCAGGCTGCGGGGCTCGGGGCTCACCCCAGCTTGTGCTTTCAGGGGAGCTCTTTGCCCAGGCGCCAGTGGACCAGTTTCCTGGCACAGCTGTGGAGAGTGTGACGGATTCCAGCAGGTACTTCGTTATCCGCATTGAGGACGGAAATGGTACGCGTGGGTCTGGGTGCCCCCCTTGAGAAAGGTGTCCTCTGCCTCCGGAGGAGCGGGGCTGACTGTGCTGTTCCGCAGGGCGGCGGGCGTTCATTGGGATTGGCTTTGTGGACCGGGGTGATGCCTTTGACTTCAACGTGGCGTTGCAGGATCATTTCAAGTGAGTGTTTCTAGGAGGCTCGTGCTTCCCCTTCTTTCCCTGGACAGAATGACTTCCCAGGTTAGAGGATGCCAATGGCTGGGCGTGGCCTCCTGCTGGCGGAGCCTCAGAGAGTTCTTCAGGCAGCCGCCTTTTCCTGCCCCCCTGCCACTCCTGGTCTACTGTGACGTCTTCTTTCCCCAGCGCCGTCAGCTGACCCAGCCTTTGAAACGTCCTGTCTCTTTCTCCCCAGCCCCTGAACAGCTTGGGTCCTTGTTCGCCTCTCTTGGCCTCTCTGGGCCTGCTCTTCCTTGATGTCATAAGTGGCACTTGGGTTCCCAGGCCACTCAGCTGATGCCCTGGTGTTCTTTATGAAAGAGAGGACAGGAAGGTCCGTGTCCRTCACTGACTGCCAACAGGTTGGCCTCTGTCACAGGTTGTGAGGAGGACAGGAGGAAAGGGGACCTTTGTGTTGCCCTCTTCTGGGCATCTGTCTTGATGGACAGCATCCCACAGATGGCCATTTGGGGTGTGTGCAGACCATGCCAAGGGCTGGGGAGGCAAGGACCAAGTTCCCTCACCTCCTGGAGCCCAGCGCACAGACCCTAGGGCACAGACCCTCTGCGTAGGGGACCGATGAATTCTCACAGCATCTTCACTAGAGCTGTCAGTTGTGCTGCTGAGGAAACCGACGTGCAGGTGGCTGCTAAAGCGTCAGGGCCCGAGCCCCCACCTCCCACCGTACCTCAACACAAGCCTCCCTGGGAGTGGGTCTCTTCCAGCTGACCGTTTCCTTCTCCTTCTCCTTCTCTCCCCAGATGGGTGAAACAGCAGTGTGAGTTTGCAAAGCAAGCCCAGAACCCAGACCAAGGCCCCAAGTTAGACCTGGGCTTCAAGGAGGGCCAGACCATCAAGCTCAACATCGCAGTGAGTCCTACCCTCGCTTAGCTGTGTTGACCATGGTCACGCCATACTTGAGGCCACCTGACCCAGAGTTCCTCTTCTCCYACTTCAGTTCCATTGGTGCAGGGCTCGCCCTGGGCCGAACAGAGCTCTGCTGTCGTGGTCTCAGAGTCGAGCTGAGCAAGCAGCGACGTGATCACACACAGGAGAGGCTCTGCCACCCTGGGATGCCTGCTGCTGTGCACTTCTAGAGGAAGGACACAAAGCCCATGATTGGGGGACCCAAGGAAGGCTTCCTAAAAGTAGTGACCCACAGGCAAGGGACAAGGGAACAAGTATTTCAGTCAGAGGGGAGAGCACCTGAAGYGCCTGTGAGTTGAGAAGGAATGTGGGTTACTTGGTGTCCTGGCTGTGAGAGTGGGTCAGGAGGGGTCAGTTCAGTTTGCCTCTTGGCTTATGCCCTGAGTAAGGAAGATTCTGGGCAGCTCTGGGMCACAAATTGTCAGGGCAGTGCAGGGAGCATGGACAGCTTCTGCAGGTCGAGTCGTCCTGGCCCTGGCGTCTGAGCAGCTGGGCATCTGGCTCAGCCCCATCAGCTACTGTTGAACGGGAGCAGGTTGGGGTGCCCGGGGTTGTCAAGACTTTGGCTTTACCTGGCTGACTGGTGAAGGGGGGATTTGGAGTCGTGATTCAGGGACACCAAGGACCAAATGGGTTCAGCTTCTGAGGGAAGTTTGTAACTCTAGAATAATGCTTTTCCTCTTTACTCACCGTCTCTTTCTCTTCTTTTCTGCTTCATGCTGGTGATGATTTGGGACCCTTGAAATTGGGCAGCTGGTCCTTAGGAGAAAATGCAGTTTCAATCCAGTGGACTGGATGAGCTGTGCCTCTTTCCCTTGCTTGGAGGAAACTAACATTTAATGACCATCAGCTGGGGGCCAGGTAGTGTTTTTAGGCATTTCTCATATAAATTAAACATTCTTCCCCTTTTGAAAAGACGAGGATGTCATGGTGCAGGAAGGTAGGAACTCTCGGGAGTCTTAGACTGCAGGTGACTGGCCTGGCTGGCCTCACCCTGGGGACTCGGAGGTCCTTCACTGCAGGCCAGGCTCCCCACTTGACTCAGCTGCCACCTTCCTTACAAGCAGCAGGCCGTGTTGTGCTCATCCGTGTCATTTGTGCTAGCTTCTGGCTCACATTTGCTGCTTGGTATTTTTGTTTCAAGTTTTATTGAAGTATAACAGGTGTGTGTACAGAAAAGTACCCAAATCATAAATGCGGAACTCTGCAAATTTTCAAAAACTGCTCAGAAACTTGCACCCAGTTTAAGAAGCAGAAGACTGAGCACTGGGCAAGTCCCCCCTGGTCCCGTCCAGTAACTACCCACCCCCCAACTTTGATACCTAGACTTTGTTCTTGACTTTCACGAGTGGAGTCGCAAGCTTTGTTCTGATTTGTTTATGTCTCCGCTCTCTTCCTGGGGTAACACTTGGAGGGTGTCCTTGCTCGTGCTTGATTCATTCTGGTGTTCCTTGTGGGAATGCATCTAGTTTGTTGTGCTGATGACTAGGACAGTGCTGCTGGGGGTGTCCCAGCTCGTGTCTCTGGTGCGCCTGAGTGTGCATTGCTGTCAAGGCTTCTTCCAGGCGTGGAATTGCAGGACCAGGAGTTCCTGTGTGGAGCTTCATAGATTCTTTCTAACAATTCTCCAGAGCAGTTTCACCCGTTCCCACCCGGCCTGCAGTGCATGAATGTCAGAAGTGGTATCCTGTGCTGTCRGCTTCTGGTGGGTGTGAAATAGTACTGGGGGTTGGACCCAGGCGTCCACCTCTGAGCGACATCCTCAGTCCTTTTCATTTTAAGAAAGGCTCTTGCTGGGGCTGGGGATGTGGCTCAAGCGGTAGCGTGCTCGCCTGGCATGCGTGCGGCCCGGGTTCGATCCTCAGCACCACATACCAACAAAGATGTTGTGTCCGCCGAGAACTAAAAAATAAATATTAAAAATTCTCTCTCACTCTCTCTCCTCTCTCACTCTCTTTTTTTTTTTTTTTTAAAGAAAGGCTCTTGCTGGGCTGGGGATGTGGCTCAAGCAGTAACGCACTCGCCTGGCATGAGCGGGGCGCTGGGTTCGATCCTCAGCACCACATAAGATAAAATAAAGATGTTGTGTCCACCGAAAACTGAAAAATAAATATTAAAAAAAAAAAAAAGAAAGGCTCTTGCTAAGTTGCCCATGCTGTCCTTGAACTTCTAACCTTCTGCCTCTGCCTTGAACTTCTGACCTTCTGCCTAGCTGGGATTACAGTCACATGCCACCAAGACTGGCTTAATATAGTTTTGATGCTCACTTCCCTGATGATAATGAAATCAGGTTCTGGGCTTTAAAATTAACCGCATTGGTGATGGATTTCGAGTTGTGATGTGTTGGATACAGCTCCTAAAAATGAAGGTGCTGGGGAAGGACCATCCTTTGGTTATACAGATGTTGGGGTTTGAAGCTCCCCTGGGCCCTCCTCATAAGGTTTTCTGAATCACTTGAGCTCTGCAGAACTGATTTGCATTCCTTTTCTCCATTTAGAACATAAAGAAGAAGGAAGGAACCGGGAGTCCCCGAGCCAGGCCTGCCAGCACAGGAGGGCTGAGCCTGCTTCCCCCGCCCCCAGGGGGCAAAACCTCCACACTGATCCCACCCCCTGGGGAGCAGTTGTCTACAGGAGGGTCCTCTGTGCAGCCAGCAGTTGCTCCTGGTACAGGTCAGTGCTGGGGTGGACAGTGAACCTACGACTTCCTTTTCCCCAGCAGCTGGGGCTTGTGGCTGCCATCCTTCACACTAAGTAATGTGTCCCTTTGTACCTGTCGATGTCAGGCTAGAAGAAGGGCACCACAAAGTGGACCCTGCACATACTGAGGGGTTCTCAGTTCCTTAACACCTTCTGCTTTCTCCTTTAGGGCGTCTGCCCTCCCCTGATAAGCAGGGACAATGACTTATTCGCTATTGTGAAATCATCAGCATGCAGATTCCTAGTCCTCTGTGGGTGTTGAGTGGGTGGGTGATGGAGACAGGTCAGCTCACATTTAGTGGGAGGGGTGGGTCAGGCATTAAATGGATGTGGCCCTGGTTCACCAGCCTCCAACATGGTCTGGGAGGCTTCATGGAGGAGGTGGCATGGAACTGGACCATGAAGGAAGGGGCAGAGGTATTGGTGTTCCAGGCAGAGGAAGAGTGTGACTCAGGCTCAGGTATTTAGATGCCCTGTATACTCAGGGAGGTGGGTGCCAAGGTGAGCAGCGGAGTTCAAATTGGAGACTGAGTTTGGAGTGAGCTCTTTAGTATGCTGTGGGGTCCCAGGAAGCGAGAGGCAGCTACCTCAGCAGACTGTGCTGTGAGCCTGGGAGAGGCCCCTGGGTTCCTCAAGTTCTTAGTGCTGGGACGCCAGCCCTCCCAGCCCAGCATGATGCTCCTGGCCTTGACCTAGGTCACCAGCCCCCTTTCTACCCCACGCCACCCATTTCTTCAGGCAGCATCTAGGCAGGAAGCCTTCCTCATTCCTGAGAGAGTCCCTGCCACTGGCAGCTTTATCTGCAGGTCTGACTTCTACCCTCTGCCTTGTGGTGCTACCCCAGCCAGGGGGCTGAGAGGAACTGCAGTCAGGGAGCCCTGCGCTGGCACCAGGAATTCATCTTTAAGCATTATTTCTCCAAGTGGGGCCATAGGACCATTGCCAAGGACGGGAGCAAGAATCTACAATCTCATTTGCATTGTGGTTTTTGTGTGTGTGTGTGTGCTGGAATTGAAACCAGGGATGCTTAACCGCTGAGCCACCTCTCCTGCCCATTTTTTTTTTAAGTTGTAGATGGACACAATACCTTTATTTTGTTTATTTAATTTGTTTATATGGTGCTGGGGACCGAACCCAGAGCCTCATGCATGCCAGGCAAGCACTCTACCACTGAGCAACAATCCCAGCCCCTCCCTTGCCCTCTTTTAAATTTTATTTATTTATTTCTTTATTTTTAATATTTATTTAGTTGTAGATGAACACACAGTATCTTTATTTATTTTCATGTGGTGCTGAGGATTGAACCCAGTGCCTCACACATGCAAGGCAAGCACTTTACCACTGAGCTACAGCCTCAGCCCTCCCCTGCCCTTTTTATTTTTTATTTTGAGATAGGGTCTTGCTAAGTTGCCAAGGCTGGCTTTGAAACTTGTCGATCCTTCTGTTCTCAGCCTCCTGATCTGCTGGGATCAGAAGCTTGTGCTTCCACACTTGACTCTTTTACATTTTTACTTGAGTGGCTGGAGCCACTACCTTAGCCTTTCCTTGGTGCTGATGCGTTTTTAGCACCTGACACCTGTCCTATGGAGTGTTAAGCCCTGGGGATGCTGCAAGGGCAGACACTTGAGTTATGACAGATGGAGTTATGTCCTGGCAAAATCATCAGAAGTCAAAATCTTAAGTTGAAGAGGTATTTAATATATTTAATAAACCATTATAAAGTTGATAAACCCATTATTAAGTTGAAAAATCCTGAATCAGACCATCCTCAAGTTGGGTGCTGTCTGTACAGCGTCGAGCTCCTGCTCTGGGGAGCTTCTATCCTAGTGTGTGAGACAGTTAGCTTGTCTACAGGCAGGATGGCTCAGTGGCAAGTCACAAATAGTTGACATCTGTGGAGCACTCACTGTATGCTCCAGAACCAGACCACTGAGGTCCAGCTCTGGCCCTCCGTTGTGCAGTCATCAGCGACTGCTGGCTTGTCTGGGCCTGTTTTCTCACCTCTAGGATGGGGTAGCAGTGATGCCTACAGTTACAGGTTTTCTGGAAGGAACAAGTGAGCTGATCCACTCAGCGCACTTAGAGCGATATCTAGGATGCTGGGTGCACAAGCCTGATGTTAGTTCCCGTTTTATGAATGTCATCACCCACACCACTGCGTCCTGCGCCTATTCTGAGCATTCCAGAACATTAACTCTCTTCTTTCTCACAGTGTCCTGGGAAGCAATCATCGTTACCATCCCCATTTTAGAGACAGGACAACTAAAACATTAGTGACCTGCACAAAGTCACATGGTTAGTCTTGACCTGTGGTCTRCTACGGGCGTGCTTAAGCTCGTGTCAGTAGTGTGTGATGAACACTTGGCAAACTAAAGCTGCACCATTGAGAGCCCTGTTTTATCCAGTCTCCCCGCTCAGAGCAGATGAGAAATAGCAAATTAGTGGGAGGCAGAAGTGGCAGACACAGACTCTCCTGAAGAGAGAGTTGGCAGCATGGGGGAATGGGAGGTAGCTGAATCACCTTTTCTGGAAGGGTTTCCTTGCCCCCTGAATAGCTGGGGGCTCAGGACTTGACCTATGTCTAACATGTAACCTCCTCAGTTGGTTGATGCAGAAGTGCAGGAGGCTTCCTGTGAAGGTGAGCTTGTGATTTGGGTGGGGAATTCTCCATGCAGGTAGCCAAGACAGGRCATAGCACATTCAAATGGGTTCCAGCGTACATGGTGGGAAACAGCCTCAGGTAGTAATGACAGACAGCTGTGCTCTGGCACCTCTCCTCGCCTTGTTTGTGGCTTTCTGCCTTTCCCCAGAGGCCCTCAAGGCCTTGGGAGAAGATGGTAGAGATGTGGTGACTCACCAGCATTCTGATGCCCCAAGCATCTCTGTGTGTATTTTTCAGCCACYTAGAATCATGACATTGATCACCAGTCACCAAGGTCTCTGACTCYGTGTCTCTTTGTCTTCTCTCCCTACCTGTTGGACTTGGGGACATTAAATAGGAGGTGCCACTGAATCCTGGCCACAGCCCAAGCCTGCTACTGCTGACATCTGGGGAGACTTTACCAAATCCACAGGGTAAGGAGTGCCACATTCTCTGAAGTGGCTGGGACCAGGGCTGTTTCTCTAGAAACTTAGGATTGCTCTACGTGTCTCCTGGTGCTGGGAGCATCTGCTCTGGTTTGGACACTTTCAGGCCAGCCAGAGGACAGAGTGCCCCAGAGTGCCTGCTTTGGGTGGCATATTGTTCTCTTGTGCCTCTCTGAAAGCTTTTCACCGCTGCCCACTGCCTGTGGCCATCTTTAGCAAATCTGTTTGGGCGTCCGAACCATCTCACCAAGTGCTTTGGCTTGTCCCAGTACCTCTCTTCTTTTCCCACTGTCCCCTGCTAACCTGGAATGCTGGGCTAAGAATCAGGAGCTAGGTTTTGGGCTTCAGAGGACTCTGACTCTCTAAGATTCCAAGCCTTCACTTGGGATCAGGTGGAAAGACACGAATTCCTGTTGCACCAGGTTTTAGGATCGGGGTCTGTGTACATGTTCTCTAAAGGCCAGGAAGTGAATGGTCTAGACTGTGTGGGCTACATGGTCTCTGTCCAGGTACTTGTCCTGCTGTTGCTACAGTAAAGCAGCCACGGAGGGTGTGGACACAAGTGGGCATGGCCAGGAGGACTTTACTTCTAAAAACACCACAGACATGATATAGCTAATTTAAGAGGGTTTTTTTTTTTTTTTTTTTTTTTTTTTTTGTAATAAAGTTTACATTAACTAAAAGTACACACAGACTTGGTCCCTGGCCACTGCTCTAAACCATTTAGGGATGGGCTATTTAGAGCTCTTTCTGCCAAAGAAAAGCCAACTTGAATCTGCTTTCAAACAGCTGAACTCCTACCCCATCTTCCCCTCACAGGTCGGCTTCCAGCCAGACTCAGTCCGGCACAGGCTGGGTCCAATTTTGACCTGAGCACGGAGCCCTGTTTCCTCCCTGGACTTCTGGGAAGGCGCTGCCTCATCTGGGAAGGAGGCGAGCACTCCTTGCTGGCCCCTGGAGCACCACTCTCCCCTCCTTGCCTGACTTTCTTGACAGACTGAGCACAGGGGGCAGTAAGTCAACACCCTGTCGCAGTGTCTCCTGGGATTCGGTATGCAGCCGGAACACAGGAGAAGAAACGATCCAGAACCCCTGTCCCCCTGTCTCTTGATGTGCAGGAGACTCTGAAACTGGCCTGCCTTCATCTCAGTGACCCGCATTAAACACAAGCCCCCAAAGCAGCAGAATGGATTGAGTTTGCGCCTGGATTCGGATCAGCCCTCCTCAGGGTTGATGGGTGTCCTGGGATCTCTGTTGGGCAGGGGCTTTCTGCCTCCTGTTGTTGGTAGCCACTTAAGTCAGAGTACCTTCAAGAAGAGGGACTCCAACCTGATTTCTGCCAGATCTTTAGGCCATAGCTTAAACTGGCCATTGGGAGATGTTGGAAGGATTAAGTGGCTTGTAAGAGATTTTAGTATTGTGCTTTGCTTTTGCTCCAACCTGCACTAACTCATCTTTGCAGAAGGGAGTATTCTGCTGGGTAGCTGCAAGCGAGGGCCTCTAAAGTCACTCCTCACTGCCAGCCGGCTGCCTGAGTGCCAGGTGGCAGTGTTCATCTCTGCCCACTTGCCTAGTTTCTGTCTTCCAGCCAGGCAGGCAGCACAGGCCAATGAAGGTGCTGGAAGCCAGGTGGGGCAGGGTCTGGCGGGAAGGTCTTGCAGAGCTGGGTTGGCTCACTGCCCACTGCAGCCCCCTGGGCTCAGCTTCGCAGCGCAGTACCTGGTGGACTTGGATTTTCTGTCTGGTGATTTCTGAAGTGCCTTATCTGCAGACAGCTTCTCATTTTCTTTTCTCCTTCAAGGACTGTGAATGACAGAAGGAAGAAGAAGTTCAGCGAATTCAGAGTCCAGCGTGGCCTGGATTACTGATCTATCTGAGTGCACCTTTGATGATTCTTTGAGTTAACCTTACCTCGCAGTTGATTTTTTTTAAGGGTTAAGAACATCAAACTGAAAAAGTACTGGCGTTTTTGTGGGACCAGATTTTTAAGATTAAAAAATAAATATCTTTACTTCCGTCAGAGATGAGTGTGTTTTTAGCAGCATGGCTGCTCTGCTCTCCAGGATGCCACAGATGGACTGAGAGCCACCTCCCTCACCACTGTGTCCAGATACAGAGTGCAGGGCTAGGGCTTCAGATTGGCCACTGTGGTAACCAGTGATGTCTCTCCTGTCTAGAAGAGTCTTTCCCATCCTCGGGACATTGTGAGAGCAGCTGCCTGAATTCACTTTCTGGAAGGAAGACTGGTTCTGTCATGGAACCTTGGTAGAAAGGGCTGTGCTGGAGGGAGTGGCTCACTGACATCCGCCTCTGGAAGCCTCTCCCAGGGAAGAAGGCTGCACGCACGGAGGTTAAAGTCAAAAGGCCATGCTTCCTGTACCTGAAGATTCTCTAAGAAAGATGGGGTTGGATCTGAGTGTGGTGTTGCACACCTGTACTCCCAGCAACAAGGGAGGCAGGAGAATTGCAAGTTTGAGGCCAGCCTCAGCAACTTAGCAAGGCCCTAAGCAACTTAGACCCTGTCTCAAAAAAAGTCTGGAGGGCTGGGGTTGTGACTCAGCRGTAGGGAGCTTGCCTAGCACATGGGAGGCCCTGGGTTAGATCCTCAGCACCTCATATAAACAAAAATAAAAATAATTGTCTTCCTACAACTAAACAAAAAAGTCTGGGGATACATACAGCTCAGYAGTCAAGTGCCCTGGGTTCAATCCCCATTTCCGATAAAAAGATGGATGGGTTTTTATTGTAGGCATGAAACTAGCCTCAATAACTAGTGAAAAAAGAGGAGAAAAAATGGAAATTGAAAACCCTGGGCTGGGGATGTGGCTCAAGCGGTAGCGCGCTCGCCTGGCATGCGTGCGGCCCGGGTTCGATCCTCAGCACCACATACCAACAAAGATGTTGTGTCYGCCGAGAACTAAAAAATAAATATARAAAATYYYT